AGACCTTGTCCGTCAGTGTTTATTTGTGCGGTGAATGTGGGCACCACTGACTGACTGAGTGGAGAGAGAGGGGAATGGGCAGCCTTAAATGGATTGCAAATGGATCTGCATCTGCATCTGGGACTGGCGACTGGCAACTGGCGATGCTTCGTGTCTAAAGCATTTTGCATAATTCGTTTGCCCATTTCTTATACATATTTATTCCGAACGTAGTAATTTGATTGCGTTGTTGATTTTATTATGAAAGTTGCGAGACAACAGTCAAAAGCAATAACAGATTAGCATGGACTAAGGCAAGGACTGACTCACAGCAGCTCCATTTGGGGAAAAACTAGGTAGGGGCATTGCTGCACCGCTGGACTGGGGAGTACTTCTCCTGGCTGGAGTGCATGTTGCCAGCAATTGAATAAAAACCCTTTTCATGTTAATGCAACATTTGTTTGTTCGATATAAGCCATGGCAAAACGGCACCAACAATTGGCGGCTCTTTGGCTTTGTACTTGTCTCTGTGGCCGTTGCTGCAGCCACCGCTGCCACCGCTGCCTCGGCTGCAGTTGTTTCCTATTAACGATAAAAATCACATGACACGAACTGGTTGCCGATCTGGCTACGAGAGTATAGTCTTGGTTTTGTTGTCTGTTTTTTTGGATTTTTGGGATTTGGCTCTGGGTCTGGCGCCGGCGCCACTAACCCAGTTAATGCCTCAACCTCCATCTCCATCTCCAGCTCCACCTCCACTCTGTTCCACTCAGGGATTTGCACTGGGCTGGCCAATTATGCCACATTATGCCACGGCAAGTTGATTGCCGCTGTTATCGTCCAGGCTGGCTGGGCATGACAGGATGAGGATGTGCGGCAGGGCCAGGGCCAATGGCTGCATATTACGCAACGTCAACGTCAATTAAATTCAGTTTTACTCCAAATATTTTTAAGCCAATGTCAACAACGGGTAGTCCCATCCCATCCCCTTTCCCAGCTGAAACTGTAGCTGTTCCTTGGTGCTCTGTGAAATATATTTACAGCATCTGCCACTCGCTTATACACCTCTCTCGCTCTCATTTGGCCACGCCTGATTGAATTTATGGCCGGGCACAACCAGCGGAGGCCCTCGAGGGTCTTGCCTCAATTGTTTACACAAAACTTTCACAAATTAACCCAACCTGTGAACTGAAAAAGCTCCAAAACTGAACGACTACAAAACGCAGCGACTCGATTAAAATGCTGCAAAACTTAATTGGTGCGCGGGCTCCCCCAGTTTTGTCGCACATTCTGGGTGGCCAAACCGAGGAACAGTGGGAAATGGGAGAAATTGTGATGGGCAGAACGAAGGGCAGAAACATTGCTGAAAAGCTCAGAGCATCGTCTAAGAGCACGTTGAAGCAGCACAAAATGAAGAGAATCTATATCGATGTACCATTTACTCTTTCAGTATTTAGTCAACTTTTTTGTTCTCTTAGGGATATTAATATCGATTCCAATCGTTTCCTTTATCCCACGGTGCATACTCCATCCCCATTTCTCTTCTCTACTCGCATTTCTCTTGCTACTTCTTCTCCTCCTGCTGGTGCGCCTCCTGTTTCTACTCATGTTGCTCCTCCTGCTGTTGCTCGGTCAAGTGCAAGTGGCAATTTAAAGAATCGCCTGAGTTAAATGTCGAATCGACGAGTGTCCCAATGTTGGCGCCCCCATATGCGCATAATAATTTCGATCGAGCGACGAAGAAAGTTGTGTGTTGCAGGGTCCGGCTGGCACCACGGCATCGTTTCATGTTCGGCTGCTGCTGCTGCTGCTGCTGCTGCTGCTGCTGCTGCTGCTGCTGCTGCTGCTGCTTCTTGTTGTTGTTAAGTGAAATGAAAAGTGCATAAATCTGGTGAGCAGCACCAAACGAGGCAGCAGCAAAAGGTGGCAACCGGACCGCGCAACGATAAGAATCGAAGCTGCGTTTTGGGGGCACAGCGAAGCGAGAGACAAAAGAACTTTCGCTTTCGTTTCGCTGCGGTTCGGTGTAAGTTTTCTGTCCAAGTAAAAGTGGTCGCCGTGCATTATTTAACCAAATTTGGCTATTGAAATGCAACCGGTATGAGTACATGCCTTCGATATAACAATTATTGTGCGTTTAATGAGCAGCAACAAGCTGACAATCATGCCGTTGACGGATGAGATTGATTGCATAAGGTACAGGCAGCAGCAGCAGCAGCACCAGCAGCATGTGGCAGCAACATTGTCACAGTCACTCCCCAGGGGAGGGTCACTTGGGGTGCCGCCAAATCGTTTACTTTCACTGGCGATACCAGAACCGCTTAGAAGCAGCAGCACCTATGGACAGGGATTGGAGCAACGGACAGGCAGCAGCATCCAGTGATAGTAAAAGTGATAGTCGTTTTCTATTGGAGATTATTATGGCTTAAATATTTTACGACTTATATAACCACACACACATGGGCACACACACACACACACACTTACACTCCAACAGACAGATGGAGAGAGACGTCAAAGCAATTAAGCCACGCCACCAAAATGCAGCTACAAATGCAGGCACTTTTCTAATTAATTTCAAAATGAAGTAAAAAAAAAAACTACAACAAAAAAATCTCAATAAAATTTCATTTTCATTGACAGCCGCTTTTCAACTGCAACTGCATGATGCAGCGTGTGGCTGCAATAACAACAACAAACTGGTGGTGCTGCTGCTGGTGGTACACTTAATTGACAAGTGTGAAACTTTCAATTTCTGTACACCCATTGACATACAAAACGAGAGACGAGAGAGCGGAGAGCCTAAAGAGAGATTGGGCTGCCTAATGATGTCTTGCCGCCTGCCGCCTGCCGCCGCCTGCTGCTGCTGCTATGATTTGTTGTGTCTAAATGTCACAATTCTCCAACAGGGCGGTAGGTGTGACGCGTCGTATCTGCCAGCTCCGATGGCTTTTGCCTGATAATTATTGATACTGCTCGGGTAGCGTCTCGCGTGCTGACTTGACAAAAAGGCTGCTGCGCTGCTCCGCGCAATGCCATCAAATGATTAACTAACGGATCAGTGTGGAGGGGGAAACCGTTTGGTGTGGGCAGAGAGGGAGCTTTTTGCTGTATTGAGGGGAACCGTTTGCTCTGCAGAGAGGAAGCTTTTTGGTGTGGGGGGGAACACTACACCGTTTGGAACGTGCGAAATCGGTGAAATTTGTATCTGGCGTGTCTGAGTGCCAGTGCCAGGCGATTTAACACTACAAAAATTATGTTTCAATTATGCCGGTAAAAATGGAAAGTTGCTGCAAATCAATTGAATGTCTTAATTGCTGCTGCCCATACAGAGAATAACTTTCAGCAGACATCCCATCAATCAGCAGTGGACAAAAGAAAAAAGTTCTTAAAGGATTCCATCGTTCCCAGAACTAAACTGACAGACAGGCCTCCGTCCGTCCATTGGGTTTGGCATTTTCAACATGTTTTTTTTTTTTTTTTCGTGGCAAACCCATAATTAAAAATCAATTTGGCCCAGAGGGGGTTCCTATTATGCAAGAAATAAAAACAAAAACAAAGCCAAAAACATGATCATAATATCCATCCACTGGGCCACGTTCGTTGTCTGAGTCTTTTGGTTTGTGCAGTTTTGTCAAAGGTTTAGGCAGCCGCTGCCAGACATCAACGTGAGCCGCACATATCCAGCATATCTATGCTGGGGTTCAGGCCATGTCAGGCATGATTTTGCTGTGCCACAGTCACAGGAGATGCCAACGGAGTCGCTCGAGTGGCTGCCACGGCAACCCATTAATGAGCATCACACACACACACACACACACAGGCAGCTGCTGCTTTGGCTGGCATTTGACACATTTTTTAATTAAGGCATACAAATTGCGATTCTTCACGCTCCACGAAAATGATATATTTGCTGGCAATACAAAATATTACTACGCGGCGTGAGAGAGCTGCGCCTGAGTGGCGCATTCCTCAAGGCACTCCCGGCACCGCCGATAAGCGAGTTAATCACTCAGAAATTCCAGGCTTATCGGATATCGGCATATCTGGCTGCTGCTGCTGCTCCCGCACAATAAATGCAGAGAGAGAGAGAGAGGAGGAAATTTGCATAGGCGCCTGCCAAAAAGCCCAATGAATTTTTCTTACATAATTATCCATGGCTGTGGCTGCTACATTATGGCCCGACCAAGTGCAAGTCCAGCAGCAGGCAGTCCTGCTTTTGCTCCTTTCACTTTTTTGGCCCGCTGCCTGCCTAATTATTCCTGTGTCCATTGTCTCCGCTGTGATTTCGCACATAATTAAACTGCCCAAACTTTACATTAAATTAATAGTTTTATTGTTTCGTCCGCTGCCAAGCCATGCGGAAACGCGGCCCTACCAAAAATGGTCAACCAAACACCACAAAAAACGCGGTAGAAAAGTGGAGAAAAATCAAGTCATTGACACCGCGGAAAGCCCCAAAGGCACTATAGAAAAAGTGAGCAAAAAAAAACCCCATTGGAACACGCAAGATTAATGCGGCACACAATTATTGCGGAATTTATGCAAAAGTTAATGGCAGTTTTTTGCGATGGGCACAAGCGCCGCTATCATTTCACTTTCATGTCCAAACAGATGGCTATGAATGCACTTAAGGTAGAATTTTGAACCTAAAAAAAGATCTCTAGTAAGTGCAAATATTTATGGATAAGGTCTTAGTGAGTTAAAGCTTGCGAGAAATATTTTAAAATGATAATTTTTGGGTAAAATATTCATTTATAGATTATGAAACTTTTTAGCTCACCCTAAATTTGTAATCCCCCAGCAAACATTAATAAGCCTAACTTTGCCCCACTTTGACAATATATCAAAGAGAAATGGCGAATCCAAAGACAGGTTTTTTGTTGTTGTTGTGCTAAGCTTAAGAAATCGACAGAGCCAGAGCCAGAGAGAGAGAGGTGCCAAGGGGTCGAAAGGTAGCTCCCCACTAACGGAGTTCTATTCAGTTGCCACGCGACCGTGGGTCCGAGCAGTTTATCGGAATGCTTTGCAGGCCAAGTGGGAGGGGAAGTGCCATTGGAGTGGCCATCTCTGCGTGGCTGTGGCTGCAGCTGCAGACGCTGGCATATCAGACGGCGGGCAACATCACCAGCAACCCGACGCTGGACCATCTGCCCACGAGGATAATTGGTGGCAAGAGGATCAAGTGCTCGCGTGCGCCCTACCAGTGTGCTGTCATCTACGAAAATGACTTCATCTGCGGCTGCGTGATCCTCAATCGTCGCTGGCTGCTCACCGCCCACCACTGCATTGTGGGTGGGGCGGGCAAGTACCAGATTCGAGCGGGCACCACGCAGCAGCGACGCGGCGGTCAGCTGCGCCGCGTCAAGACGATCGTCGCCCATGCCGGCTACAGCGAGAACACGATGAGGAATGATCTGGCCATGATGAAGCTGCGCGAGCCGCTCAAGCACAATCGCTGCGTGAAGCCGGTGCGTCTGCCCTCGCGGAAGCGGACGCGCTGGCCAGAGTGCTACCTCGTCAGCGGCTGGGGCTTGGCCCAGGCGAATGCCCAGAATGTGCAGCGTTACCTGCGCGGCGAGCGTGTCTGCAAGGTGCGGCGTGGCAGGTGCCGGCAGATGTACAGGCGCACCGGCGTCAAGATCTACAAGGATATGATCTGCGCCGCACGGCCCGGCAAGGACAGCTGCTCCGGTGACTCGGGCGGGCCGCTGGTGCATGGCAACACGCTCTACGGCATTGTGTCGTTTGGCATTGGCTGCGCCAATCGCAATTATCCCGGGATCTATGTGAATGTGAAGCGCTATGTGCCGTGGATCAGGAAGGTTATGCGGAAGTATTAGGCAATGAAAGTGTGAAACAAAATGAAATAAAGGGCAGCTTGAATCAATCTCTTGCTCTGGTGTTTATTTCCCTAATAGAAATTTCAACTTTCTGCTTGCGAAAAAGAGAGTCCAAAGTGCAGAGCTCAGAGCTAAAGAAAGGCTTTCAAAGAACTCGCTTTATGCGGCATGATTTAGTGCTATAATCCAACATTAAACAGCTGCTCTGCCTTAGGAATTTGTCGAAAGTCCAATCAATATTCATGCCAATATTCTGTGGGTCAGCTCATTAGCATTCACTCCAATTCCAGAGTTCACAGCCAGAGGTCAGTTTGAATTTGGAATCGCCTCTCGAGGGTTCATTGTGCTTTTGCTCTGCTCTGCCCAAAAAGCAGCTTCCACTTTCCCCAACAATCGCATTTTGGGTGGCGTGGAGCTGCCCATCCGCCTGACACCCTGGCTGGCATCGCTCTCGGTCCAAGGCAATCCACAGCACTGCCCGGGCTCAGTGTGCTGCCACAGTGCATGAGAGAGCGAATGCCACGGAGACCCGACTGTCGCTGTCGTCGCCTCTATGGCGCATGGAGACGTTCCATAACGGACAACAGGCTCTGTGCGGCAGCAGCTGGCAAGGATCACTGCTACGGCGACTCGGCATTGTGTCCTTTTCCCATGGCTGTGCCAATCCACGCTTCCCCGGGGTCTACTCGTGTCCTGGATGCTTGCAGTGCTAAAAAGTGAAGGAAATTAAATGTTAATAAAGCAATCAATGATCTGCTCTTAGAGTGAATGCTGCTGCTGCTGCTGCTCCTCTTCCTTGCTGTTATACAATCTGTTAACCATCCTCCTTCGAGCATCATTCGTGCCCAGTACGCCAAAGAGCGATAAACTTATATGCGAGTCAGTCGACGGCAAATTTGTGTAAATTATGTATTTGTGCATTTTGATTTCATTTAAACGAAGTTTCCTGATGGCCCCCAGCGCATGTCAAAAAGCGAAACGCGAAGCTCTGGCAAGCTCTAGCAGCCCGACTTGCGCAACAACATACACAGATCCAGCCAGAGTCAATCCATATCCAAAAGCATTCACAACATCCCATTGCTGAGCTTGCGATGCGATTCCCAGCTGGCTTGCCCAAAATATCACTCTCTGCCGTATGCCGTATGCCGTATGCCATATGCCATATGCGGTGGGCGTGCTCCGTTAATGCTGCTGCCCCCCCACCGAAATTAACATAATCGTGCTGCTGGTCCGCGCTGCCTCCTGCCTCCAGCCCGTCGTCGCAGTTGGCGCCCCAACAAAGTGTTGAATGCTGGCGCTGCCTGTCAAGTGGCGGCTTCCAGGCATTGTGGCACACCACAGATCAGGCTCCTGGGACTTGCTCGTTGTGCAATGGGAGCATCAAATGTGGTTTGACTTTTAGTTAAAATAGATTTTTAATAATATTATATGAAAATACGCTTAAAAATGTTTTGCATTTAGCAAAAAGTGTATAATATTATGGGTGTGTCTAGGTGTGTCTAGGTGTGTGTCTAGTCTGGGGGAGGCTTTTGGGTTTCTCTTTTTATAAGTATGTATATTTCGTTATCATTAAGTTACGCTTACACAATTCATTACGTATTCTAGCCTAAAATGTATACCATTCATATTTGTTTTATGCTTTTGCTTCGTTTAGTTCCACGCCCTCTACTCGCTGTACGCTTCTACTCGCTCCTTCTTAAGCGTTCTCGCTCGCTCTTTTTTCTTTTATTTTTCTCTTTGTAAATTTCAAACTAGTTTCTATATGTGTAAAAAAATCATTTCAACAGCAAAACTCGTGGGGGCGGTGTGTGTGGACCAAAAGCGAACACAAGCGAATCGATTGCCATCTCTAAAATATCAGTAAAAATGTCTGTATGTACGTGTGTGTGTGTGTGTGTTTTTAAAAACTTGTACAAAAATGAGACATTTAACATTTCACAATTACATTTACAATTACAATTACAAGCATTACACACATTAATTAATTAATTAATTCATTAATTGGTTCATGCTCCTCCTCCTCCTGCTGCTGTTTTTAACATTCCTTCTTTGACCAATGCACAATTTTTTTAAAGCTATATAACAATTTTTTTCTCTCATTTAGTTTTGTTTTTCATTCATTATTTGCATCTCTCGTTTTTTTTTTGTTGGACTCTTTGTTTTCGATCTGCACTCGCTACTGGCTGTTCTGGCTTCTCGTTACTTTTTTTTTGTAACTCTGCAACAGTGCCAGGTGTGTGTGGGTGTGTGTGTGTGAGGGTTGCAGCCACATTGCCACTCAACTTTCTGTTACGTTTAGAATGTTGTGAAGAGTAGTAAAATAATTTCATTGCCAGTCGAGTGGCGTCTGTGCTGCCTGATTTCAGTTATTGCAAATGTTTGTGTTGTGTGTTTTGTCTAGACTCAAGTTCCGTGTTTGTTTGTGGAGTGGAGTCCCGAGTGCTCAGAGACAGAGTGGTGGCCCGGTCTGGTGTGCTCTCGCTTGTTTCCCTTTCTCTCTCGTTCTCTCTCTCTCTCTGTTGTACATCACATATTTTACAGTTTAATAATACTTTCTTACACATTAATTTATTAATTAATTCATATTTTCATGCTGCAGTTGATAGAGCTAAATTGCTGTGGTTTTTGCTGTCGTTTTACTGTGGTTCTTTATGGGCACACACACCAGCCAAAAGCCAAAAAGCCTCAAGCAGTCGATTCTCTGGCTTCTCCCATGTTCTTTTAGTGATTGACTCCGCTCCGCTGACATCCGTCTTGAATCCGTTCTGCTGTTGCATTCCTGCTCCTTATGACAAAAATGGATTTGTTGCTCCTGCTTCCGGTTTGATCCAAGGCATGTTGTTATTTTGCTGCAAGATTTTATGTCAGAATTAGTCAGGGTTTCAACATTTCTCTATAAAATATTAGCTTTAGCTTAAAGGAAGGAAAGCAAACTACATGCAGCGTCAATTCTGCCTGGTTAATGGTTACTTAAGGATTAGGTTTTTGTTATAGTTTTAGGTAGAGACTACGAACTAGTGGCAGAGAGCAGTTAGCATGCACATTCGAGAAGAAACATTTTACCCATTTTGCATTTTGTTTATTGCATTATTGTGTTTTTATTTAAGCGTCCAAGCCTCCATGGTTGGCTACAATTAGAAAATATTATGGATCAACGGATGCGATTGGCAGACCAGCTGCTGGTTACATGTTTTGTGTGGTTGAAGGCAGCAAAGGAAATCGTTGCTCGATTCACAGACATTCTCTTTGGCAGGCATTCGCTTGTGCGTGCGAGACGGTTTCCTTCACTGCCTTCTCCAGGTAAAGCATTTCTGTAGCAACAATTTGTTAGAGAGTTTTCCATACTTGCAAGTCAACAGAAAATTCAACTAAAATTAATTACAACTAAGGAGAAATAAACAGAACTAAAGCAAGCAAAAACAACAAGATAAACAACAAAGACAACTTCTGGCAGCAAAGAGGAGAGAGAGCAAACTGCAGCACAACTTCAACTTCAACTTCAACTTCAACGCTGAGGAATCACTCACTTCCAGCTTGCAGGCAGCAGCCGTGGACATGCCATAATTGCGTACATCCTCCCCGACTGCATCCCCAAAGTTCATGGGTGCAATTTTGATGCCCGGCGTTTCGGCCAGCGAATCGGATAAGGCGCTGCTATAGCTGGACGCATAGGTAGAGTACAGGGCCGGTGCGCCATAGTTATTGTTGTTGCTGTTGCTATTGCTATTGTACACATCGGATATATATCGGGGTTCAGCTTCATGGGCTGTGGGACTATTGAAGTAGGGACGCGTCGGCTGCGGCATCTCGCTGAACAGATCCATATTGCGTATGCTGTCAATGCCAGGACTTAGCGTGTTGCTGGGACTCTTGCTGCTGCTGTACGACTGAGTGTAAATCTGTTCCGCTGTCGGCTTTGGATGGTTGTGTATTTGTGGGTGTGTGACAGAGGGAATGATGGGATTACTAAACGCACTCAAGAGCTCAAATTCCCCCAAGCCTGTGGCATAGACCGGAGCTGTGGGCATGCCCAAATTGAGGCTGGTCGGACGCACGGGTGGCGGTAGCTTTAGCTGCGATTTGAAGACATTTAAAGACATGCAGCAGTTGCTCGCAAAATAAATATGACAAAAGAGGAAACAAAGTGCACAAAAAGTATAAAATGAATGAAACAAGAGTTTGGTTTTGTTTGAAAAGTAAACCGAGAAAGTACCGAAAAAATCATTAGAGTTAAAAGAGAAGAAAAAACCTCAAAGAATAATTACAAGTAGGAAGGAGATGCCCCGCCCCAACACGCTGCGCCTGTGACTCACCTGCGACTGACTGACGCCACCGCCCATGACGGGCGCCCAGGGATCCTGGTTCATGCTGACTGCAAAGGGCGCCTGCTGTTTCAGCTGATTGATGGACGGCACCTGAAAGGGAGCATTTAAATCAATGAAATCTCTAGCTTAAGGCGCGACAACACTTACGGCTGGCTGCTGTTGCTGGAATAGATTCGTTTTGGGTGGCATCACGTTATCGCTGAATGGATTGTAGGCTGGGGCATTGCCCGTTTGCGTTTGCGGCGCAATCGGTTTGATCAGATTATCCAGATTAACCAGCGCCGAATTCTCGCCTAAGAACGAGTGCGGATCCTTGAGCGGTTTCTTTGCAGTGGCACCCGTCGAGGGATGCACGGAGCTCGTGCTGACAGCGCCATTGCCGTAGTTCAAAGATAAAGGATCCATGTCGTCCAGCAGAGAAGCTAAAAGAAAACTGAATAGTTGAGGGAACAGCGCCAAAGATCGTGAGGCTGAAGACCTTACCATTATTGTTATTGTTGGAGGCATTCGAGTTGCTTTGATCGGCGCTCTTGTTGCGGTTTGTTATCAAATCGAATTCATCAAACTCGGGCGAATGTTTCTGCGAAATTGAATTATAAAATCAATCAAGAACTCATCATGGACTGTGAACGCACCTTTATAGCACCCGTGCCTGCGCCCAGTGCCTTCCAGGGATCATCCAGAGCTGGCTGCACCGGTGCTCCGAGGGTCCAAGGATCCGCTGGAGCCATGGCTGCTGCACCCGCTGGCTCTGCCAGCCAAGGATCCGCCGAGGCGCTGCCATTGTTGCCAGCATGATTGCTCGCTGACGCCGCCGCTGCCAGGGCACTGCCCGCATTGGTTCTCGTCATCAGCGCCTCGAAGGGAGCGCCGCCTGCAGGCGTGGCACCGCGTCCATTTTGGTTGGCATTCCCATTGGTCTGGAGCCAGCCCTCGTTGGAGGAGCCGGAGGCCACGGAAGGTGATTGTGTGCGCAGACCCCACGCATCTCCAGGAGCGACGGCGCCGCCCATGGCCGAGCTAATGGGCACTCCAGCGCCCATAATGGTGCGCGGTGCGGCCGAGGGATGCCAGGGATCCACTTGCGGCGAGGAGGTGCCCGACCACGGGTCCGACAGCTGACTGGGCGCACGGGCAGCACCGGGCGTGGCCCAGGGATCGACAACGGCCGCAGGTGCGCCGCCAGCAGCGCCCAGCGGCGGACTCGAAATGCTTGTGGCGCCCAGCGAAATGTCCAGCAAGTCCAGCAAATGGCTCTGGGGCTCCTCCTTCTTGGGTCTGGTGATGGGTTGGCCGCTGAGGGGTAGAAAGTTAAGGTAAACGTCTTCAGAATCGCTTGATTTGCTCACTTGAAGTCCTGTTCGCTCTGGCTGAGGGCCAGCTGCAGGCGCACATCGTCGCTTCGTCTCTTGGCCTCCTCCTGCTCGGCCTCCTCGCGTGACATGGCCATCGCCAGCTGCAGTTGGAGTTCCTCCTCGCCAGCGGTCTGTGGCCGAACCATTTCCAGTTCTGATTGTGATTTGGGCGGCTCCTCTTGCCAGCCCGGCGGCATGTCACGCTGCGAGGGCCCGTCAATGTAGCCGTCGCTGCCAAAGCCGCTGGGATGCAGCGCAAAGCGCTCCTTGGCCTTCAGCGCCTTCACCCGCTCGTTCTTGAGTCGCTCATCGTCCTTGAGCAGCGTGACCAGCTGCTTGGCCTTCTCGCGCACATGGGTGCCCTGGTCCTTGCCCTCCTCAAAGTACACAAACTCGCGCAGCGTTTGAATGGCAAAAATGTTCTCCTTGCACTGCTGCGCCACCTTCTCGGTGCCAATCTTGATGAGGTACTCCAGCAGGATGAGCGCCTTGTAGACGTGCCGCCAGTTCTTGCCATGATCGTTGAGACGCTTCCAAATCATTTGCATGATCTCCGAGAAGGCCACCACGTTGTAGGTGAGATCCGCAATCTCGCCCATAATGGCAGCCGACGGACCCCATGGATCATTCGACGTGGCCTCGCGCACTTTGACCTGCAAAGGGTAGGAGGTTTTGGTAGAGTTTTCTAGTGGAAATTTGTGGGCTTTACTCACCTGAGCATCGGAATAATTGTGCGCTAGGTTCTTGATGTTTCTGCGTAGACCGGCAACATTGACCTGCATATCGTCCTTTTGCTTTCTCACTGTGTGACGAGAGAAGGAGAGTGGAATGTTAGCATTTTCATGTAAATATCTCAAAGATCCTCTGCTGGGGTGGGTTAGGTTTTGGGTTAGGTTTCGGGGCTATGTTTTAATCTGTTCTGAGATTTAGTTTTATTTTTTGTCTGTCTATCAAAAGTTTTTTCCTTTAGTTGTATGTTTTTCTGTTACGTTACTGGAATTTTGGTTGTTGTTTTCTGAAGTATAATCCGGTGTATGGTATGATGTGTGGCAGTACAAAAGCAAAACAAAAGAGAACACAAGAAAGTTGAAGGTGTGTAAATGGTTCCGACAGATATAACTTTAACCTATATGGCTTATGTGTGAGACAGAGACAGAGACAGAGATAGAGAGAGAGATAATATTATGAAAATTGTGATTTAACATTGAGACTTACTTTTCGTTTCGTTTTTATTTTTGCTACACACACAAGAAGAAACTTTTTGTGACTTTTGCTTTTATGTTTGGATTTGTGTCTTTTCAAAGGCTAAAAGTTTTCTTTTGCTTTTATGTTTTTATTTGCTGTTTAAGTGCTCCAAAGCAAGCTAAGTATGAGATACAAGATAAATACAATCAAAATACATGGTTTAAAAGATACAGAATACATTTTACAGAATACATTTTAAATATATATATATAACGGCAGTTAAGATCTCCAAAGGGTGCACATCACACAAACAAATCGGTGAAAGAAATACTTGAAAATAACAGAATTTTATTGCTGTGAACATCGAAAGTCGTCCGCACGCGTCGGCTGCCTCGGGAGAGTTTCAGCAACCAGGCCGAGGGCCCCTCTCGGACACCCAGAAAAATAATTCAATTTGCGGCCAAACCAAAATGTGCAACAGAAAGGAATAACAACACACACACGCACACATACGAACCAATACCACAAAAACACCAAAGCAAAAAGCAAAGAGTAGTGCAAGCAAACGATCCCCAAAGCAGACTGTGCAAATGCGCTTCCCGAACAAAACAAGGGGCTGGGAGATTTGGTTTAAAAAATGTTTACCGTATACAAATGTGTGTGTGGATAATAATAATTTACAACAAATAATGTCACAAGATGAGTGCACTGCAAAGTGATCGCTGTGAAGATTTGCCCTCAGTTAACTCCTTGCCCGCAAACTCTTCCACTTAGCTAATGTATCCCACACCAACGATTCATGCTGGAAGAGGCCGGCCTTCTGCTTGAACTTAACCGCTAGCTAGACAAACAACAAGAAGCCGCAAAAATGCAAAATAACCAACGGGGTTGGGGGGTACAGGCCGACCCATGTCTGGCAGTGGAATATGCAAAACTTTTTTGCATCCCAAGTCCGTGCTTGAGTTATGCATTAAACAACAACAATATAGCGTGAAATTATAGAAAATGAATTGATTTTCACCCCCTACTTGTTCTTGGCCCGAGGTGCAGATCTATTTATACATGCAAACAAGGAAAAAAAAAATGCACCCAAGATAATCAAATCGTTATCGATTGGATTCGACGGCAACAAAGCAGCGGCGAAAGTTCTGCGAGAGAAAAGAGTGTTGGAGGTCCCCAACCTCAGAGACGCCCCCATATAATGCAGTGAGAGCAAAGCGTAAGGCAAATTGAAGCTGATTAGTGATAAGATAGGGGCCTATAAAATGTACGTACGTACACATAAATATGTACATATGTATGTAAGTTAATGTAGGGGCCTTGCAGATCAGTCGAAAATTGATTAATATTCTAGAATAATTTAAGTCTCTTGGGATTTTTTAGCTACTTGAATTTGTAATTCAATCTAGGGGAAAAGTAAATCAAAACTTTCAAGCAGATCCGACAGCTGACTGAGTTTAATAGTTTCATAGAAAAAGGTGAATCATGCAACGCTTCTGGAACTAATTTATTATGGCAGAAGTTTCCTACGTAGTTATCAAAATACACAGTTGTCGATTACACACACACACACACACACACACAACAGTTATCAGTGAGGTAATTGCGTTAAATCAAACTGTAATTTGAAACTCCATTATCGAATGTCTGTAAAGTCCGCTATTACATCGAGAAAATTAACAAGCAGACATGAATGAAAATTTACCAGTGATCTGGCATTTCTTTAGGCAATATTTATGGCTAGTTGAACCTGCTACGACGAATTAAAGCTTGTTGCACCTGAACTTCGGATTTATGGCTACATATGTATGCTGCTGTTGGCCACAATAACCGGTTATTTTCAGCTAATTTATTGCCTAATCTTACTACAGTTATTTTACAGTTTGGAAACTTGTTAAGAAGAATTTAAGTGTATGGAATTTTAGGCAGCTAATAGCTAGGAATTTGTTTGTCAGCTCCACTCAGAACAAATATTTACTCTCTTTTTAGTTGTGTTTGTTTGTTTTTGCAAAGAAACTCTCTTGACACATATTGGAGAGGGCAGCCACCGGCGGCAGAAGACAAGAGACAGAAATCCACTAAGAACACAAACCACAACTGTAACTCCCAGATAAAACCCGTTCTTTCCTAGACTCCAGAGAGAGCGAGATTTAAAGAGAGCAGATCCATTGACCGCTTTGCTGACATCGTAAAGATCACATGCGGGGGAGTGAAATGAATAACTGTGCCTGTTTGTTTGTTTGTTTTCATTCTGCCTGACGTCTGTCCCCCGCCACCACTTGACGATGCAAAAGACGAAATAATTCAATTAAATGTCGCGCAGTAAGAGAGAAAGACAGAGAGAGAGAGAAGCCACTAGGCAAATGAAGTGCAAGAGTCAGTAGAGTGAGGGTGTGAGGTGGCCGCGGGGTGGCTTGCTTGAACTTGAACAAATTAAATGCCAGACCAGACAGAGCCAAAGAGAGAGACAGAAGGAGAGCGAGAGCCCAAGTGTGAGAGGACCAAAGTCTCTGTCTGTGTCTGTGGCTGCTTTGAGGGGCGGCAGACAGAGGGAGGCAGAAGCTTTCTTTGTGTTTTTGCACTTGACTTTCGACAAACGGCGACGTTTTATTGCCAAAAATAATACAGTACACATACATATGCATATGCACAAACATTTGTGTGGATATGTGAATGTATGTATGTGAATAAACCACCGAACGAGTTGCGGATTTACTTTGTTCAGAGCCTTGACGGATTCGAACCCGGGGAACCCGGTTCAATGAACGTAACACGCAAAAAGCTTAACCGCTAAAGCACACTCGGAGGAATAGCCGAAAAAACACTGGAGATCGGAGACGGCAGCCACGACGTTGCCCGATTGTTATGCGTACTGCAACTGATGTTTATTTCTCTCAGTATTTGTATATATCGAATAGGAATTATTATGGACTCGAGCAAAATATTCCACATATTTACGAGTGTGTTTTCGCGAAATCATTGTCAGACGTTTAGCATGTGTTCGCGATAAATGAGTGTCTACCATTAACCCTAACTGTGATCTAGTCAAAGATCCGAAAGATTTCGATAAAGACCGAATTACTGGACAGATCTCCATTAACACCCATTTAACTAGAGTCTTTTCATAGCGAAATATTTTCCATGTTTTATGCAGGTGTGAATAGTTAATTCATCAGAATTAAATTCGCAACATAATCAAACTATAAACATTTGCGGAAAGTCACTTTGTCTCCCACATACATTGTATATCATCCAGTATCTCTTTCTTTTTTGATAAGATTCTTTGAAGGGTAAATATTTGCATTTGGTTTATGGTAATCTGCATGGCAGACAGGTAGAGGTTTAAAGTTTCGCTTTCACGAAGGTCATTGCTCGCCTGCTGCGTCCCACTGTGCGCAACTTGAGCTGATGTTCTCCGATCAGTGGCGGCGACGCTTAGCCGGGACATGGGGCTTATCCCCCCTTAACCGTACACCCCCCCTTGATGCAACTGTTGTGCATGCGGGCGTAAAATATGTGTGTGCGGATGTGTGTATGAGCGATGGGTGCCGCTGTTTTATTGGTGTAAGTGTGATAACTAGTCAGAAATGCGATTAGATTTCATTTGTGGCACACACCGACAAGTACGAATGAACGGCTGGACGGGCTACAGTGGTCACACACATACACCAAACTAGCAAAATATGTGCGAAACTTCATTCATTACTCATGCCCAGTGGCTTCCTGCCATGCCCACGCAACATAAACCAGTTTTACCTTTCGACCTGGACCTACTTTAGTATTTAGGGAAGGCGGGCGGGCGGCTGATGACTAACGCAGCGACGCCGACTTATCAGAACGCCGAAAAAATAATTTAGCGAAACTCTTATCAATAAAAGCACGCTAATGCTAGAGCTTTTCCGCGACACAAACAACAGAAACCACAGAAACAACAGAAATGGGGAATGTTAGAAGGACGTCACAGTTATGGGGCCAGCCTAAAACGGTTCTGGATGGTGGTAGATCGTTTTTAGATCAATGTAAGGCGAATCCCAAGCGGAAATTCAACTGAAGAGAAAACCGCTGCGCTCTGCCCACTACCGACTGGGCCGCCCCCTCTCTCTGCTCACCTGCTCCACTGCTGCAATGCTCTGTTCTCTTCTTCTTGCTGTTGTTGTTGTTTCTGCTTCGCTGCTGCAGTCAGTTCGTATCGGTGTGGAGCTCTCTCTGTGCGTACGTGTATGAGTGTATGTGTTTGTGTGTGACGTCGACGACGACGGTGGCAACTACTCCTCCCCTTCTATCTAGTTTTTCTATATTTTTACGACTTTCTTTTCAAATGCGCTCGCTGCCAGCAAACGGAGAGAGTCACAAGACGTGACGGGCAACGGCGACTGCGACGGGGACGACGAAAACAACTACGTCAGCAGAAGTAACGCGCACGAAAACGGGACGACGCAGATCCTCCAGAGGAAGGCGGAATTTGGTGAACAACAGAACGATATTTACACTTTGCACTTTGTACAAAAACACACAAAATGGGGCAGCGGAATTGCTATTATTCTTGTTTTTGATTGCAGTGTGACCAGTGTGACCGCGAAATTATCGATAAAATATACCGTCAGGGCCTAGTAAATATAACAAAATATACCATTGAATCTTCAAAATATACCGTAAATATACCGTGGTCTTAAATCAGATTCCTCGACTTTGATGTTCTATTTGATATTACTAGCGTGCAGAGACTTTCAACACTGAAACAAAAATTTAATCCGATTGAAGAATCAAATTTGCTTATTATAAATACTCCTTTTTATTGGATTGTATACCTTATGATCTTATATTTTACAAATTTGTACCCCCTCTGGAAGCATGGGAGCTTTATCTTCAGCATGTAAATGCATGTAAATTGTTAACAGAGACACATGTACATATGTTAAGAGATATCATTAACAATTAGTGAAAGCGCAAGCAACAAAAACGGAAAAGAGAATTAAAAACAGAGACGACTACCCTTGGAAAAATATTAATAAATAATCATCGCTAGTACTTTCGTAACTATTCGATTGCGGCTCTATATCGAATGGTATTTTGTTTACTTTCGATAGCTGATTGCTCGTGAAACTAAATAAGATTAGATTGAGATTGATATTATAATCAAATTAATTCGGAACGACTTTGCTCTTCTTTTTTTATTTTTTCGTTACATTCGAACTGGGAATTTAGATAGTTAAATATATTTTCAAGTTTAACACAAGCTGTGTAAAATGGAAGTAGTACCCTCACCCTGACTATCGATGCTTTCATCGATACCGCAAACAGCTGGCAGCCGACTAGTTATTATTTAAAACCTAAAAACAACGGTTGATAAGTGAACAAAGCTGCGACCGAGTTTAAAATAAATGTTTGGAGAATAATGTCTTCCCGCGAAATAACCAGAAACAGACAGAGGGCCCTGCTCCGGGCCGAAACTCCTAGGCCATGCCATCATTGGGCAGCGCTCCAAACAAAGCGACCCAATCTCTGAAAACTTTTCATAAATCAACAGTTACGCGGAGTGAAAAGCTAATGAAGACCCCTAAGTACTTCAGGATCTAAGTTTATTGACAAGCCAAACATTTTAGTGCTTTGCGCAGATGCTAATAGCCAAGACCAACATCAGGGTCGAGCAGGAATTGCATAGCGGAATTAAGAAGGCAAGTTACCCAAATTGTTTTCCTTATTCAGACGCTCTTTAGATTGCTTCTTGTTAAAGTCCCTTTGCTCGAAAATGTCCATTCATTTATTGAAATCTGCAGAAATAACAACTGCTTTCCTCGATATTTGACTTTTATTTACGATTTTTATTTAGAATACCATTTTCATTTTCATATAATTACACGCTAAAATCTAATTTCTCATCTTGTTAACGAAACGGATAACAAATAGTGTGTATGTATGTAATATATTTTTTGTTTTTCGCTTTTAATTCTTTAATATTTTATTTTAGAGTGTATGTTGTGTTGTGTGAGCGCGCGTTGCTACGTCTGTGTGAGTTGTGTTGCTGTGTTGTGAGTGCATTTACCGGTTTTGTTTTGTTGTTGCTGTTTTCTAGGATCTAAGTACCTAACATTTTAGATATTCAACGAACGTGTATGGAGGTGTGTTTACAGTTATTAAATATGTTTAGTATGTATATTCGTTTATGTGTATGTTGTGTATATATTTCCATAACGCCAACTGTTGCGCTTCCTTACACGTTCCCCGTTCGTTTTCGCTCTCCGCAACGCTCTCACCGGTTCGCTTTACTGTTCGTTCGTTCGTTTCCTATTCCTATTCCCACACACACACACACACATACGAGAAATTGAGCCCCCAACAAATAAGCTTAAAGCATAAAGACAGTACCGTTTGTCAGTCCGTGTTGTCCGTGGGTCATCGATACACTTACTCCTCCTCCTCCTCCTACTCTTCTTTTCTTCTCTTCTGCCTGTTCTCGAACTCGAATTCGAATTCGAATCGAAACAAAACCAAAACACAGAAAACATTCAATATGTGCGGCACCGGTCGTGGCATCTTTTCGATTTTAGCGATCGCTTAAATAAAACATAAAAACTAAATTAACTTAAGACATACTACTCGTACGAAACACATCCACGCTGCGCTTTACATTTAAATATTCGTTACGTCCCCTAGCACGTGGGCACGGGGTGCACCGCTTCACTCCTCGGGCGGCTCCTCGGGCACCTGCAGACTCTGGGCGGACTCCGCGTGCACGGAATTCGCCTGCGAATCGGAGTCCTCCTCGAGCACATTCGTTTTGCTCGGCGGCGGCGTGGGCGGCGGCTGCACCAGATTCGGTATATACTCCACCGTCTCGTACTCGGTCTTGGCCACCGACTCGTGATCCAGATCCCGCTCGTGCTCGAGCAGCGGATCCTCGACCGCGACAGGTGGCGCCACCGCCTCATCGGCCTCTTTCGGAGCATTGGGCAACTCCACCCCTGCATTTCCCGTGTCATTGATGGGCATGGGATCCGCATGGGGCACCACATTGGGCTCCTCAATGTCTAGGATGATGGGCAAGGTCTCGTTCGGCTTTGGCGTTGTCGTGCTGGTCGTTGTCGTGGTGGGTGCAGTGGTCGTCACCAGTTCCGTGGCAGCCAACTGGCTGCTGGGCGTCGTCGCTGTTGTCGTGGGTGTCGCTGCGGTGGTCGTGGTGCTCGTTGTGGGCGTCATTGGTGTCGTTGTGGCGGTCTCATTACTTTCCAGTTCACTCTCCAGCGGCACAGGCGAAGGCGAAGGCGTGGTCGTGGTCGTTGTTGTGGTGCTCGTGGTGGTGCTGGTGGTTAGTAGCGGCGGCAGTGGACCCACCGCAGCGGTGCCAATGATCACCGGATTGATCAGCGGCTGGCCCAGCGTGGCTATAATCGGCGGCAGCAGCTCCTCGTTGCTCTTGAGCAGCGTCGGCACGAGCATCTGCACCACGGGCTTGGCATCCTCACCACCGCCGATCTTCAGGTTGGTCATCAGCAGCGGCAGATCAATCTTGTAGAGCATTGGCAGCACGGTGCACACCTCCTGATCGTTCTCGAAGCACTGCGAACGGCCGCGTATACGCGCATCCTGTACGGCCATCAAGCGGCACAGCTCATTGAGGCGCACATCACACATGATCGGATTATCTGTGAATGGAAAACGGTGAGCAAAGGTTGAGGCATAAGCCAAGATAACTCACCATCCAGATGTATCTCCAGTTTGCCGGGCACATTGTGATTCTTGCAGCGCGTATTGGTGACGAGTTCGCTCGAGATGGTCGTAATTTGATTGTTCGTCAGATTGGCTTGGCACAGCACCGGCAGCCCATTGAAGTCTCGCTCCAGCTTGGTGATGTTGTTGAAGGCCAGCTTCAGGATCTTCAGATTGGGCAGCATCGTCTGAGGAAAGGAGGAACAGGAATTAAGATTTGAGACTACAAAGTTCCAGTGAAGATCGCTTACCGTTTCGAGTGGCTTTAGTTCCACCAGCTGATTGCCAGTCATGTCGAGAATCTCCAGTCGTTGCATGCCATCAAAGTCGCCGAGCAAGAGATGCTCCAGCCGATTGGCGGACAAATCGAGTATGCGCAGATTGCCCAAACCAGCCACGGCACCATCCAGGGACACGATCTGATTGTGATCGAGTCGCAGCTCGAACAGCACCAGCTCCTGCACGCCCTTGGTGCTGGGCAGCAGACGGGCAATGCGGTTGTGCGACAAATCGAGACCCTTGAGCAGGCGCAGGCCGTGCAGCTCCTCCATGGAGAACTCCTCCATGTCGTTGAACGAGAAATTTGCATTCATCAGCTTGACCATGGGCAGCAGCGAGGAGTTAAGCGAGCGAATGTGATTGCTGGCCAGGTGGAGCACCTCCAGGCGACCGCAGGCCTGGAACTCATCCTGGGACAGGTACTCCAGCTCGTTGTTGCCTGCCAGCAGTTCCTCGAGGTCCTGCGAGTTGCGCAGCACACGATCAAAGGAGCGCAGGCGATTGAAGTGCACGTGGATCGTCTGCAGGTACCGCATCCCAGCCATGTTCGCCGGCAGCCGCTCCAGCCGATTGTTGTGGGCCATCAGGAGGCGCAGTCTGCTGCCATCCGGCAGCTCTCCGTCCAGCTCGCTGATGTTGTTCGCATTGATGAAGAGCGACTGCAGCACGTGCAGATCGTGCAGCGATCCATTGAGCGATTCTATCTGATTCCGCCCGAGATGGAGAATGAGCAAACTCTGCGGAAAGGCGCCTCTGTCCAGTCGCGTGATGTTGTTGCTGGGCAGTATGAGATTCGTGACCACTTGGATGCCCTTTAGATCGTCCTGCTGCACCGCTCGTATGTTACAGCGCCCAATGTCCAGGGTCGCCAGACTCGGCATGTGGTTCAAGACATGCTTCGGGATCTCATCGAGTTCGTTGTCGCCGACGCTTAGGTAGGTTACATTCGATAACCCACGGAACGGCAGCTCGGGCAGCGATCTATAAATAGAGAAATGAAAAAAAAAGAAAAACAGACACATTCATTAACACTTCGTGCAAGTATTATTAGAAGAAAGCCCCGAATCGCATTCAGAAATCATCAGATGGAATGACAAGGCAACGGACAAGCCCATCCGATGGGTTTCAGAGCGCCAAAACCACGCTGGAAAGTGCTAGGAACCTCGTTATTGATTGAGAGATTGAAACTAATCCTAAGTAGGCACAAAACTGCATCATTGGATCTGGCAAGCAGATGGGACAACTGTTATCAGCACCCAGCTCTGAGGGGATCCTCTCACATCCATCACAAAAATCTGAATGAAGTGACGAAAGATGACAGAGATTTGTATTCCCCATCTATGGTATGTATAGATAATCCTTTCTTCGCAGGATTTATACCAAAGAAGTTCGTAGTTTATGTGCTCCATCCATTCCCAGCCCTGGCAGCACACTTTGGACTCGATGACGCAGGCTTATCAGGTACTGGCGCACCCATAACCACCAGTAGCCGATCCCCGTCCGATCTTTATCGATGTCTGCAGGTGGCTATTAAGTTGTCGCCGTCGAGGCGCCAAACTGCCCCATGAATGCCATGCCATC